TCCAATAAAGACAAGGGAGACCAAATTTGCTATTTCTGGCTTGTTAGACGTCATCAACTAGTTAAACACAATCTCCGGGGACGGATGTGTCCTGATTAAATGGGCACTCGGGTGGCCGTCTTTCGGCCATAAAAATAAAGAAGTTGAACACAGCTACGTTAGGATGCACAAAATGGACACTAAAAGTGATTAAAACATCTGCGTAAAGGGTGAACAGCGAAGATGCGCCATAAAATGGCTTATTCGTAAATCAGGCTCATCCATTTACACAGAAATGGTAAGAAGAAACTCCAAATATATGCCATGCATTGCCATAAAAACAGTATTATTTTAACTGCAAGGATTTTAAGTATAATTTGAAAGGGCATGGTGAATTTTTATAGACTAGGCCCGGGGTCGGCAACCCATGGCTCGCGAGCCATATATGGCTCTGTTGATGATCGCGTATGGCCCTTTCAGAAACTTCAGATTTTATTATTTGGGTTATTCTTTAGGGGTCTAAGTAGTGGGTTGTATTCGGATCATTACAATCATCAGGCCAAATCATTTTAAAATATACTATATGGCTCTTTCCAAAATATATTTCCAAATATTTGCTTTCTTAGCTCTCCGAGTTGAAAAAGGTTGCCGACCCCTGGACTAGGCAATAGTTCCTTTCCTAGTCTTTACCACTGAATAAACTCGCCCTTTCACCTTTATATAAATATGATGACGTCGAATATCCTCGTGATTTAGAACGCGAAACTTCACCATTTAACGAAGTGACCGAATTTAATAATGATCAAATAGCTGAAACCTAAACATGGGTAGACGAAATAGCCTATACCATAATTTTCAAGTTAAGCAAATTTTAAGAGTGATTTACGCATTCAGATGCAAAGCCATAATTCTTCTTTCATATCCTTTATACAGTTTCTAGTTGTATATAATAGATTTAACTCACAGAGTAGAGTATTTTTTCGGTTACAGTCCTATTCCAGCAGATTTTTCGTGACTTAAAATGTGATAATTATCGCATTAAATGTAAGTATATGAGCATAGATTTAAATATATACTTCTAAGTTCAACCACTTTGTCAAGGCAACATTATAATTTCTGAGAACCTCCTACATAACGTTCGTTAAAACATGCTTAAGAGAAAAATACTCAGTGACTATTTTACAATGTTTATCCGGTTCAATTCTAAATCGTTAATCCTTAGTCAATCGTCAATTTTTATAAGATCTTCCAGTTAATCTTGCTGTGGACCAACCTCTTGAATTAAACGCTTGTTGCTTTCGTTAGCAACAGGAATAGCGTATAAATTGCTCCAGTTTACGTTCCCCAAGATTTGTTGCATAATTTCGGTCATCTTAAATAATCGCAAATTCACTACTATAACATTCAACAATACTTTTAGCAAGCTAAAACAAACGTTTATAAATCAGATAAATCTAAGAATATTATTCGTCTACCTCTAACAGCAGGGTCCTTTCCGAAGTTTATTATGGAGATAAAGTAAGAGTTATTCGCATAGAGAAGGTTTACATACTGGTCGACCAACAAGTTCATACAACCCCTGATGCACTAGATATTTATGGAAAATTTCCATACGCTGGGTGCAAGGTATTTGGAATTTGGAATTTATATTTTTCAGCGCCGGTACGGCACTATCTG